TCACATCCTGTTCGTGGATCTGTAGGAGAGAAAATGAGGGTGGGGGGGGGGTAGATAGAGTAGTTTCTGGTAGAGGTTGGTATATGTGGGAAATGGGGGTGTCCTTTTCAAATCGGCAGAAAAACATGTTTAGTTCATCAGCAAGACCCTTATTGTTCACTGTTTGGGGGGATATGCATTCTATAGTTTGTGATTGCTTTCAGGCCATTCCACACAGATGCAGAGTTGTTAGCAGAGAACTGGTTTTTCAGCCTCTCTGCATAGCTTCTCTTAGCGATGTTAATTTCCTTTGTCAATTGGTTTCGGGCGTGCTTGTACAGTGCCCGATCTCCACTTCTAAATGCGGCCTCTTTCTCTTTCCTGAGTTGCTCGAGTTTGGGAGTGAACCAGCTTGTTATTGTTGAAGGAGTGGAAGGACTTCGTTGGTACACACATGTCCTCACAGAAACTGATGTATGATGTTCCAGTGTCTGTGTATTCATCCAGTGTGCCCGTTGAAGTTTCAAAGACGCCCCAATCAGTGCAGTCTAAGCATTCTTGTAGAGCTAGCTTTGCTTCATCTGTCCATTTTATCACAGTCTTAACAACCGGTTTAACACATTTGAGTTTCTGTCTGTATGTAGGTATTAAGTGTATTAAATTGTGGTCAGAAAGACCCAATACATATGCAGTGATTTCTACAGATTATCAGAACCGTTTGATGATATTATGGACCGTAAAAATGATCCCTAAATTCCTTGCAATTGTACATTCAGGAACATTGTCCTTAAACCGTTCAATTTTTTTCTCACGGATTTGTTCACAAAGAGGTGAACCTCACCCCATCTTTGTTTGTGAACAGAAGTGCCAACAACTAACGGCTTTCAAAATCTTGCTGTCAAACTTTAAAAAGCATAGGCATGGGTTTAATATATTGCTAACTATGTAATACCTAGTAACGGACGAGCGCCAGCTAATAGTAATCTGTTTGCTATGGCTGGGCACTTTACTGGAGACATGCCATTGTTTACTGGCAAGCAACAGGCGGTGATTCAACATCGCAAGCTTGTATAGTCGACTTTGTGTGACCTTTAAAATTCGACTTTTAGAATTTTCAGATAGCTGTTATTGTTATTCGAGCTTATATTATTGCTAATGCATTATTTCCAAGTAACACAAATCACCTTTGGCCAGTTTTGTCATCTTATGTTTGCTGCCCTCAGAGATTGCAAAGTAGGCTGGAAAATGACTATTCCACTAAACTTTAGTGCAGGTGTTGGCAACCCAAGATGTTGAAAGAGCCATATTAGATCAAAAAAATGAAAAACAAATGTGTCTAGAGCCGCAACAAATTAAAAACCTCAGAAAGAAGGCAACACACGCTGTATGTATCTATATTAGCTATCTTAGCCAATTATCAAAACGACTAAGTTGGCTACAAATACACAATGAGCATTCCCGATTAAACGTTTTTTTTTCCCTGCAGTGCATCCTGTAGGGCCCCCCTGCTCTACAGGCCCAACCTTTTTTGACCAAAGCTCTATTTTTCGATCAACCAGCCTCCTGCAATCGACCCGTGACCGCACACGCACGCACGCACTTACACACGCATGCCATAATGAGCAACAGCCATAATGACGGCTAAGATGAACGAGGCACGGGACACACTTTTGCAGCGTGTTAACTTTTGTAGCTGATGTGTACCGTTTTAAAATACTTCTCTCGGTCCTTCAGATTGCTATTCTTTGCCAGTTCCCTCGGTGAATTGGACATGAAATGCTGTTTCTTCTTACAACAGCCACCTGCCTGGCATCCCGCTCTGCTCATTGAAATGTGTGTCACAGGCTATGATGCAAATCTTCATTGACAGAAATGTTGAAATGTAATATTTATTCGACATATTTTTACAGCATTGGAAAATGTTAAGAATGTTTGTCTTCCTACAGAAACCATATTCAAAAATATATATTTTCACTCCCCCATCTTTTTCCATTTTCAAACATTTTAAAAAGCTCCAGGGAGCCACTTGGCGGCGCTAAAGAGCCGCATGCGGGTCCGGAGCCGTGTGTTGCTGACCCCCGCTTTAGTGGAATAGTGGGACGCCCCCCCTGCTGGAAAAGTTGTGCACTGCAAAACGTGCTCATCGTAGCCATTAATCCCGATTTCCTGATTTTGATTAAAAAAAAAATAATAAAAAAGAGAAAACAAAAGCACAAATTGTTTTTTTCATTTTTGCTTTGTAGACTAAAGTGTTTTATATATTCTGCTCCTGAGTTAATGTTGCTGAAGTGAATTTGAATTTATTATCATTTATTGATTTATTTGATTTTTCGGAATGGTGCCATAAGTTGGTCAAAAATGTTAAAAAAAACGAGGATTTTTTTTTTTAAATTTCAGGCAAATTGATGCCTTTAAAATCTTTTCTCTTTCAGACTAAAAAACAATGTTAATAAAGCTGTTCTCTGCTGTCAGTTGAAATACAATTCTTTAGTACCCAGTGCGCATGAGCACCTGTGCACTAATTACATGCAACCCTGCTGATATTAATGGTGGACTTGTTCGTTCTGTGAGTGACATAACTGACATGATTTTAGCCACAGACACCTTGTTCAAAAAATTAAATCAAAAAATAAAATCACGTGTATGGGTGTTTCATTTGTGTGGATGAGGGACTCTCAGTATTGTGCAAGAGCACATTTCAGTTGTGTTCATGAGCAAAACATATTTCATTCGTGTGTAGGAGAGCATTTCAGGTATCAGAAGCGGGCATCGTCAGTCCAGTGAGTCCATTCGTGAGCTTCCGTCAGTATGTCAGGCGGGCCCAGCCCTTCCTAGTCGTCGGCGAAGCCACACGCCAATCCGCGTCAAGAACAGACTGGGACAAGAACTTTGTTTGCAGCAAGCAGTGGCTGACAAAACAGGTCAGTGAATTTATATAACTTTAAAAGAAGACAAACAGGAAACAATGTCACAGCAAAAACAAGTTTAAAAAAATCGTAAAATAATACCTATCTGCTAAACAACATCAAATGTGTTCTATTTGTATTAGTTCACAAAATACCATCAATATGCTAATTAGTGTGTTTTCAACAACAAAATACAATTTAAATATTTCACTATAACACTTTTTAACAAGAAAAACATTCAACATTTTTACATCTTAATGATATTTTTATTTATATTCAGGACTTAAAGTCTTTGGGCAACAAAATGTTTGTTATTAAGTCTTTGGGGAGTTTAAAATCTCTGAGTATTTCACGTTTGATATCGCAACCACAAGACTGAAGGATGGAAGCCTGATTAGAGCAGGCAGTTGTCATGTTTCTCTTTTGTTTTTGTTCCAGTTCCTGCTGGAGTGGAGGGCGTTTCCTCCAGCGGCGCACCTGTTATGCGTTCTAATCATCTGACTACCTGTCGGATTATCCATCCTTCTTCATGATTCATACCAAGTGCTTGTTCATTCTAGCCGTTTCTTGATTCTGCCTCGTGATCTCTCGTCACGTTTTGTATTGCCTCATTTAAGCAGTGTTTTGTTGTTGTCTTATTCTTGATTAATATTATACATGTTCTTTTGTGAGAAGCGATTTACGTTCATATTTGTTCTTGTCTTTTTATAACGTTTTTGGTTTCTGGACTTGTCCGTTTTTTTTTTTTGTTTTTTTTTGGTTACCGGCCTCTTTTGTTGTACTACTTTGTCGGTCTTGCATGTTTGTAAGTGAACAGTTTGTCAACTCTTATTTGTGTCTGTTTGTGGAATCCGATTCTGTTCCGGAGAACTCCTGACAGACTAATCAGACCAGGGTTTCCTTTGACTCATATAAGAATATTAAAGTTCTGTCCAACCGAGGACGACTAGTGGTACAGCAGGAGCATTAACCTTTTAAAAACCATGCCTTTGTTTTTAGTCATCCTCCTATTCTCTCACGGTCTATAGATCTCCCCAGGCCTCCACATCTTTTATTCGAGTTTTCAGAGTTCTTATTGATTTTACATACCACTTATAAGAGAATTTCAATAACTGGCGAATTTACTATGCACATTGACGACATCTTGGACCCACTGTGCAGAGAATTTTCAAACCTTTTAAACTGTTTGGATTTTAAACAGCATGCCTCGCAGCTGACTTACAACCGAAGACACACCTTGGACCTGATGATAACTTACAACCTGATGATAACTTATGGCCTGTCCTTTATTGTTGACCTGGGTGTGTCAGACTATTACCATGTATATTTTAACATTGCCCGTTTTAATCATCAAGAGGGGCCTCTTGATGATTAAAACGGGCGATGTGAGAAAAGTGAGGAAACATGAACAAAATTCTGAGGTCGCTGCAAATTTTATGCAGATTTTAAAGGGCACTCCTGCTGACATTTGACCTATGCCCTGTGATTTTATTGTTGATAATTTTAACAGGAATTTAAAATCAACATTAGATTCAGTAGCTCCACTTTTAACCAAAACTATAAAAAATAAAGACTGTACTCCCGTGGAGAAATTATTTTACGAAGAGGTCAAAAAGACAATGCAGTAGAAAAAGGAAACTCACAATTCACTATGAGATTATGTGAACAACTCAAATGCTACAATAAAACAATCAAACAGGCAAGAACATCCTATATTTCCAATCTCATCAAAGTTAATAAACACAACTCCAGATTTCTTTCCTCCACCTTTGATCTTTTAACCAGCTCCAATTTTTAAAAGTCCCCACAGATACTCTCAGTGAGGACTTTGCAGACAGAATTAAAACCAATGACATGAGACCCTGTCTTTTAGCTCATCAAAATATATGAACCCGGACAGTCATTTTTTCCGACGGAAACACTGGAAAGTTTTGCTCTGGTTGATGCAAGGACACTTGGTCGAATTTTCTCCCAGATAAACCCGACAACCTGTCCCTAAGATCCAATCCCCACAATCACTTTTAAAAACATTTTTTGGATTCTTTGAGGAACAGATTTTAAATAAAGTCAATTTCTCCCTTCAGACAGGTGTCTTCTCCGCCATGTGAGGAAAAATCCTCATATGGTTTCTCTGTACCTTGCCATGTCTTTTGTAACATAGTTTATCAAGTTATGTGTGTGCATGTGTGTATGCATGAGTGCAGGCATGCTAGTGGGGATAAATATCTGTGTATGCATTGTCCCCTCATATGTTGTATTTTGGCTTGTGTTAGTTGCACAGAACTTTGAGTTGCATTTTTTTGTATGAAAAGTGCTATCTAAATACAATTTGATTGATTAAAGTTCCTCTCCAACCTCATTCCCCAAACACTTTGAGGGCTGAAGCCAACTAGACCGATGCTAGTTGGCAGCCCAGGCTTTTAGCCTACCTCGTGCATTCTGCTCTTGAAAACAGGGAACAGGTTGACTACAGTACATTAGCAGCAGTGGTGGTTTTTTTTAGGGTATCGGTAATTTTATACACGGATGCATCTGCTACATCGCAACTGGAATTTCTGAACCACGGGGCCGGCCAAATAAAGGTTGAACAAAATAAGAAGCGCTGTTAAAAACATCTTGCTTGTCCACAGCTTCAAGATATCTGTACATATATTTTAATATACTATCAATTACATATTTCCTAAAGTAGCTCATATAATGCTATACAGTATGATTGCTAAAAAGACAAAGTCAAATAACACACATTCAATACTGGAATCCCAATAACAGCAGTTTATGTTATGTGTACCATATATGCAGTATTTAATAAATGGATTAATTTGTGTTTTTGTACATGGATTGCACACACCCAATATCACACAAGCAGTCGGTTGTTCCAGTTAAGCAACATTTTTAGGTTCAGTCCTATGCATAGTGTACAGTCAGTTTTTAAAAAAACAAACCTTGATGTCATATTTTCTCAACAAACATTAAAACCATTTGACAACAGTATTTTGGAGTCTGAGTACAAATTTAAACTATTGTTAAGGTACGAAGGAAGAGCTCTCAAACTCCAGTGAATGATGTTCTAGACCTCCGTAGCCATTCATCTTCTTCAGCTTCAGCTGTTCCAGCAGAAGAAGGGACTGGGTCTCTACAACAGGCTGCTTCTTGGAGAACAATCGACTTATCTCCATGAATGTCTTATTTTTGGTCTCAGGTATGACTGCGTAGACATAGACGGCCACAGACAGACAAATGCTGGCAAAGACCAAGTAGCAGTAAGACCCAGCTGACATCTAGGGGTTGGATGAAATAGAAAACTGAAAATGAGGGCTCACAATGGTTGCAAACAACTAAACATGGTTTTGCAAATGTATGCTGTGGTAGGGTCAAAGACAACAGATGTAAATGGTGTGACTTGCAAAATGACGGCAATTCAGAGTAAAAACTGTGCTTATCTTGTTACAAATAATATCAACTTGACACGTCCGCAGACCCTATGACCCGATGCACTGCCCCCTTAAACTGCAAGTGTGTGTGCACACACAGGTGCATGTGTGTGTGATTGCAATTTGGACACAAGTGTGTTGGAGCCAACCAGCAAGTGATTTGCAGCTGCTTGTTCCTAAGCCGGTCTTCGACTCCACCACATTGCCAGATGGAGAACACTTTTTGTGCAGTTTAAGTTCAGTCTTTTCGAGAATTACACTTTCATGCTGACTATTTGATTTGTCCTGTCTGCCTTCACAAGCTGCAGTGGTCACTCGTATCTGCACCTTTGCCCCGTACTTCTTACGGTGTGTGTAAGGCGTGTGCAAGGTATGATAATAGCAAGAAACGCCCATTCCAAAGTACCATCTGTGTCGGTGTGTTTGTGAAGAGAGCTACATCCACACTCACACTGATGGGCAATTTAGTCCTCTATTAAGAATTCCACTTCCATTATTAAAAACTATATACGCTACATATGGTTCCTTGCGGTATAAAAGTCTACAGATCAGATCAGAGAGTGTCCATTGTCTTCTGTATGTATTTTTATGAATGTTTTTCAATCAAAAGTTTTTTTTTTTTTTGTTATTTACATTAAATTTTCTACATTAGTTCAGCGTTTTCACCTGTAAGAAGGGGAAGACAAAGCCCACAGTGAAATTGGAAAGCCAGTTGAGAGATCCTCCCACAATGTAGGCTGCAGGGCGGTGGGACTGTTTAAACAACTCAGCAGTGACCAAGAAAGGAACCCCCGCTGCAAGAGGCAAACACATGCATTGGAAGTCACATTTTCCATTCTCAATATCAATAAAACATTGACAAAATGTACAAAAATGTGAAATATTTGAAATGAACAAATCAAATTAAAAAAAATAAATTCATTCAACGATCCAACTAATTTTCTTTGACTTCCTGATGAACTCCCTCTCCAGATCCCTCGAATAGGCCTTACTGCCTCAATACCTGAGGTCTGCTCAAACTTCAAATTCATTTAAATGGGGAGTGAAAACATTGTTGACCGCAGCATTCTTGTGAGTTTATCTTTTATTCTCGTTTTAATCCCCATTTGGACGTCTTTTAATTTTCTAGACTGATGCTTGGTTTTCATCATTTTGATCTAATTATTTTCAATGATTTTTGCAATCCCTGCGACCCTGGAGAGGATAAAGCGGTTCAGAAAATGGATGGATGGATGGGTGGATCGTTCTGTACTGGTTTCATGTTTTCTGTGAAACACTATGAATTGTCTTGTACATGAAATGCCCATTACAAATAAACTGGCCTTGGCTTGCCTTACCAGAAAAGCTGAGGAGTGTGCTCCCTCTGGAGTTAGAACACACCCTGCAGTCCCATCTTTCAAGAGTCCCCGGGACCATGCCCCAAGGATTTTTTATTTTTTAACCACCCTTGCAAACGCAACTCCTCAAAGTCTCCAACCTCTTGTGAGGATAAGCCGATTCGAAAATGGATGGATGTATTTTTCATTGCAGTCAGTCACAACTCTGATTTCTTATTGAAAATTAAAGGAACGTGTTAATTAGGTGTGTTAACAAATACCAGCCCCTCCATGAGCCGTCACCTTACCGCAGTGGAGGGGTTTTGTCTCCCAATGATAATAGGAGCTAATTTGTCTGGTGCTTTATGCCCCTGGCAGGGTCACCCATGGCAACCAGGTTCTAGTTGAGGGACCAGACAAAGCACAACTCAAAATACCCCTTATATGGACCTTTGATTCCCTTGCCCGGATGTGGGTCACCGGGGCCCCCCTCTGGAGCCTGGCCTGTGGGTGAGGCTCGCTGGCCAGAGCCTGGTGGCCAGGCCTACACCCATGGGGCCTACCCTTTCCGGAGTCCTTGGAGGATGTGCTGGAGAGTGCTCTCCTGGGGACACCCTTGTTCTACTGGGGGAGTTCATTGCTCACGTGGTCAATGACAGTGAGACCTAGAAGGGCGTGATTGGGAGGAACGGCCCCCCGATCAGAACTCAAGCGGTGTTTTGTTGCTGACGAAGAAGTTCTATAAGGCCTATGTGGCCTGTGGGACTCCAGGGGCAAATGATGGTCAATGGCTAGCCAAACGGAATGCAGCTTTAGCGGTTGCCAAGGCAAAAATTCGAGTGTGGGAAGTGTTCAGTTAGGCCACAGAAGCCGACCTCCAGACGGCTTCGAGGGAATTCTGGTCCATCATCCGACACCTCAGGCAGCGGAAGCAGTGCACCATTAACACGTACAGTGGGAATAGGGCACTGCTGACCTCGACTCAGGACGTTGTGAGTCAGTGGGCAGAATATTTCGAAGACTTCCTCAACTCCACCAACTCACCTTCCTTAGAGGAAGCTGAGTCTGAGGACTCTGTGGACGGCTCTCCTATCACCTCGGCAGAAAAGCCACAGGGGTGGATGAGATCTGACCAAAGTTCCCAAGGCTCTGGATGTTGCGGGGCTGTCCTGGTTGACATGCCTCCGCAACATCGCGTGGTCATCGGGGAGAGTGCCTCTGACAACAGAGGGATCACATTCCACAGCCTCCCTGGTAAGGTCTATTCAGGGGTGCTGGGAGGAGGGCCCATCTCAGATTCACAGAGTCTCAGATTCAGGAGGAGGAGTGTGGTTTTCGTCCCTGCCGTGGAACAGTGGACTAGCTTTACACCCTTAGCCGAGTCCCCGAGGGTACATGGGAGCTCGCCCAACTGGTCTCCATGTGCTTTGTGCACTTGGAGAAGACGTTCGACCACATTCCTTGGGGAATTCTGTTGAGGGTGCTTCGGGAGTATGGGGTACCGAACCCCTGATACAGGCTGTTCGGTTTCTATACCACCGATGTTAGAGTTTGGTTCGCATTGCAGGCAGTAAGTCGGAATCATTTCCAGTGAGGGTTGGACTCCACCAAGGCTGCCCTTGGTCACCGATTCTGTTCATAAGCTTTCAGAACAGAATTTCGAGGTGCAGCCAATCCATTGAGGGGGTCTGGTTTGGTGGCCTCAGTAGTGATTTTTGCTGATGATGTGGTACTGTTGGCTTTTTCAAGCCGGGATCTGCAACTTTCACTGGAGCAGTTTGCAGCCGAGTGTGAAGCGGTTGGGATGAAAATCAGCACCTCAAAATCTGAAACGATGATCCTCAGTTGGAAAAGGGTGGAGTGCCCTCTTTAGGTTGGAGATGAGATCTTGCCTGAAATGGTCATGAGTGAGGACAGAAGGGAGCGGGAGATCAGCAGGTGGATCGGTGCAGCGTCTGCTGTGATGCGCACTCTGTGTCAGTCTGTCGTGGTGAAGAAGCAGCTGAGCCAAAAGACGAAGCTCTCAATTTACTGGTCGATCTACGTTCCAACCCTCACCTATGGTCACGAGCTATGGGTAGTGACCAAAAGAAAGAGATCCCGATAACAAGCGACACCTCCGCACTGTGTCTGGGCTCTCCCTTAGAGATAAAGTGAGAAGCTTGGTCATCCGGAAGGGGCTCAGAGTCGAGCCGCTTCTCCTCGACGTTGAGAAGAGCCAGAATAGGTGGTTGATTAGGATGCCTCCTTGACACCTCCCTGGTGAGGTGCTCTGGGCATGTTCCACCGGCAGGAGGCCCCGGGGACACTGGAGAGATGTCTCCCAGAACGCCTCGGGATCCCCCGGGAAGAGTTGGAAGAAGTCGCTGGGGAGAGGGAAGTCTGCTCAAGCTGTTGCCCCCGCAGTGGAAAATGGATGGATGGAAAAAATACCAGAACTCTGATTCACAGCTTGGGAATCATTGGCCTTATCAAAAATTGGCTGCATTTCCAATAATACCAATTTGTTACTTAAATGGTTGTTCAAAAGAAAGCGTGCACATTTTTTTGCCTATTGCAAACTGGTTTTCTGAACATTTTTTCACTCCCACCACAAACAACACATGCGTCAACCAGAACATCTGTTGTGATGAGTGTTGCCAGCTAATTTTTAGAGACTGTTGCTAATGGTGGCTCCATCTTTTGCCAACAGTCGGAAATGATATTGGCAGTTTGTGATAATGTCACTGAGTAGTTATGTAGCACGTTACAAAAATTAGACAGTGGTATTACTCTAATACAGTATTCCCGTCATGTTTGTGCTGCAGCTGTGATGGTTAGGAGGGCCAGGGTGCAGTTACTTGTACGTTAATGACATGGGGAATTGACCTATGCATGTGCAAGTCAATACCTCTCTGGCATTATGGGAAAAAATGGCAACCGGAAATTAAGCACTGTTGACAGTATAAAACCATAAGAATTACTAGTAAACAATGTTTATTTCATTTAAAACCTATTGGTATAATATTGGACAAACATTAAAAACAAGTCAGTTTGCACAAGTCAGTACCCCGTGGCATTATGGGAAAAAAATGCTGTGTTTTTGGCATTTAGCCGAGATTTTATTAATATGTTTCAAAGTAAATAAATTCAAATGAATTTGCCAGTCAGGAATGTTTACCGTACTTTCCGGATTATAAATCACAATTTTTTTCATAGTTTGGCTGAGGGTGCGATTTAAGATAAGATAAGATAAGAAATCCTTTATTAGTCTCACAATGGAGAAATTCCCAATTCACAGCAGCAAAGTTATGAAAGGAAGAAGTTTATACTTATGAGTTAAATTATTAATATACTGTATTATATCATTTCACATGTTATTTTCACATTAAACCGCAAGAAGGTGCTGTAGGCCTGTGTTGATACTTTCCACGTTTACGGTAAAACAACTGACGATAACTCTGATGTAAGCAATGGAGAGGAGGAAGCGGATTCTTGTACCCCCAGAGTTGGCGGAGTTCTTTACAAGTGACAATGAAAATTTCATTGGATTTAGTGATTTGGAGTGACACTGATGATTTGGTCAACTTGTTAGCATGCTCTTTATGCTATAGTTATCTGAATAACTCTTAATATGTTCCGTGAACATACCAGGAACTTTCTCAGTTCGTTGTTTATGCACCATGTAACGTTAGCATATTGTACACTTATTCAGCCTCTTGTTTTTATTTGTATTTGCCTTTCAAAATGACATGGCTGTTCTTGGTGTTGGATTTTATCACATACATTTCCCCCCAAAATGCGACTTGTACTCCAGTGAAACATATATATTTTTTCTTCTTCATTATGCATTTTATGGCTAGTGCGATTTATACTCAGGAGCGATTTATAGCCCTGAAAATACGGTACTCCACATTGGCAGTTCGTTTGTGGTGTGTACCATACTTGAATAGAAAAAAATGAGAAAACCTCTCAAGCAAGCTGTAGTGTATAGCATTCCTGAATGTACGAATATATTTTGTGATGGGCCTACTTGAATATGACGTGTACCCAGAAGAGTGTGGAAAAAAGTGGGAATTAGAACGGTGCAAGTCCATTCTGCTCAGTGGTGTTAATAAGAGGTAAAAACACAACAAAAAGCAATGAGGATTTTATTTAATTCAAAGTAAAGTAAATGGAAGGACCCGTAGAAGTTGAGAAGTTGTTACATCCAGTTAATTTTTTTTTTTTTTTTTTTTTTTTTTAAGATGGCGCCCCCTGAGTGGCTGCCTCTCCAGCAGCGCATGTCTTATCTTATAAATCTGGCAAAGAGAAGAAAAGACGACAAGAAAGAATGGTGCTCAGTCTACCGCCCAAGCTCCCTTTGATGTGTTGTGCAACTCAGCCACTGTCGGCGTCCGCTCACAGAAGTGGAGAAGTAGGTTTAAACTATTTAACCTCGTGAGGAATTCGTGATGCTGTGCAGAAATGAGCATGATTGCTACATATGGCAGGAGCCAAAGTACAGGACATTTTCTTCACTTTCGCGAACACAGGAGATGAACTTGATTACAAAGGAACAGTAACAAAATTAAATGAATTTTTTGCGCCTCAGAAAGAGTTTTGTGAACAGATTGAATAAACTTGCAAGGACGTGTGACTTTGGAGACAATAGAGAAGATTTTATTTGTGATCAAGTGATTGACAAATGTGCATCAACCACATTTTGGGGCTTCGTGTAACATCATAACTGTGGCCAAGTTTGATAAGTTAAAATCCAAATTTCATCTGAAGTCGAAGCACTCACGGAAGCAATTCTTTTGGCTCAACATCATCACTCCATATAAAAGGGATTTTCAGGGCTAATTTGAAAACAACTAAAGGATCAGAAATCCATCCAGGCATTCATTTTCTAATCCGCTTATCCTCACGAGGGTCACGGGTGTGCTGGAGTCTATTCTTCGGGCAGTCGATGGAGTCCACCCTGAACTGGTTGCCAGCCAATTGCAATGCACACATAGACGGACAACCGTTTGTGCTCACACTCAAACCTAAGGACAATTAGGAGTGCTCCATTAACCTGCCTTGCATGTTTTTTGAACGTTGGAGGAAACCTACACAGGCACGGGGAGAACATGCAAACTTAGCACAGGAAGGCCAGAGGCGGAATCGAACCCACAATCTCTGTACTGTGAGGCAGACGTTCTAACCAGTCAACCTCCTATCGTGTGGGAGGGCCAACTCATGCCAGGGGCTCAAGGACAACCCTTGGTCCACCGGAATGCTCAGCATAGTGGAGCGTGGTCTGGTAAATTTCCAAAACACACTGAAGGAGGCTTGCACTTGCACAAAGATGTGCTGGTTTTCACACCTATTTACGAAAATAGAGCCCATAGCATGGCCTTTTTTGGGGGGAGGTATTGCGGCATCCACCATTATTCACTCCTCTTCCACTATATGAGAAGTGCGCACCTTTGTTTGCATCAGTAGCTATCTGGCACATTTGTGGGTTAATTAGTTATAATTGGCCATATTTCTACTACTACAGCAGGCAGTTAGCTAATCAGCTGTGCCTGCACATGAAAATGCATTTTACGTGGATGCCGCAATTTGCAGACCAGCTTGTTGTCTTTATTTCAGCGTGAGCACGGATGCATTTTTGTGTTATTTGCATCTACTACCTTGATATTGTAGCAATTGGCAAGACAAGCACTTTCCATCGATTTTTGTTGAAGTGAACTAAGCTTGACATCTTTGGCATTTGTTTTGGTTTCTGTTGCTTTGTTTGTAGTGTGGCTGTGTTGTCTTTAAAAAAATAACAGAGTAAAGGAACTAAGGAACATTCCAAATGAAAAGGAAGACGGGACGTTTAAGTGTGAATGTTGACTCAAGTGAGGCAGTAACTGCGGACGAGTGGTGATTGATGTGACAGCTCTTGAATGTACGTGCAATCTGTTATCGCTGATAGGAATAATGCGACGTGAAGAGCCTCAGCAATGTGTCAACCACTTAACCGGAATTATGTGCTCAAATCTCTGTCATGTGGTGTCAGTTAGGCTATATGGAATAAAACCAATACAACTAATTTAGTCTGAATACCTGTAATGTGTTTACACAGCAATGCATGTTTTGGATAGTGATCAAATGACAGATCAAATTGATAAGAGAATCTGCATAACCGAATAAGCATGCACCTGTGCAGCGTTTCCCGTCTTTTGCACATGGCAAAATATGGCCCAAAGTCAACAATGGGAAATGTTTTTTTTTCCGCTGACAACTTTCCAATCAACATGTAGTGAAGAGCAACTTGCCTGGGCCGATACAGAATCCAGCGATGATGCCGACGACACAACAGACACTCACATAACGCATTAAAGATAAATGAGTCTGGAGGAAAAAAAAAGGACAAAGCAGAACGTGACAAAATAGGAAAAACATTGCAATACATCCAGCATTTTCTGTTCCTTCTCCTTGGCGTGTGGCCTTCAATAATAAAATACGAATGTACCACTGACACAATGCAAATTTACAACTTCTGGTATGAATGAGTACTTCTGCACTATTGCACATTTTTATCTCATCAGGACTTCCTGTGCTTTGTCCATTTGTGTAGTTCCTTCTAGCTCCTCATTTGTTCTCTCCAAGATCCCCGCTAAACTATTTAAATACCTGTCAATACCTAAACAAGTTGATCAATCGCAGCAAATGAAGGTTAACATGGAGACGTTGACTACCGTCAAGGCAAGGGCCCTCAATCGACACTTGCTCCTCAGAATCACCCAGAAGACTGATAATTCCTCTTATCCTCTCTGGTAATAATTGAGAGGTAGTCAGCTTTTATGTTTTGAACTGTTTACAAGTTCCTTTGATGCTAGAAATGCCTTCAAGGCTCTAAATATTTCGCAGAACCGTTTTGCAAATCAATTGCTTAATTTGAGGAGCAACTTTCTAGTTGTGTAGCAATTTTATTTCTCATCTCATCCTCCATCTAATTCTCTTCAGCTTCTCCGAGGTCGGGTCGCGAGGGGAGCAGCTTCAGCAGGGAAGTCCAGACTTCCCTCTACCAAGCCTCATGGCCTTCTGCCAGTGGTGAAGCGTCCAGGAGGAATTCTAATAAGATGCCCAAGCCACCTTAACTGGCTCCTCTCAATGTGAAGGAGCTGTGGCTCGACTCTGAGCCCCTTCAGGATGACTGAACTTCTCACCTTATCTCTAAGGGAGAACCTAGACACCGTTCGGAGGAAACTCATTTCGGCCGCTTGTATGCTCGAGTTTTTCCCTTGGCGAACGCCGAAGCTGCATTCCGTTTGGCCAGCCAGTACCCCGTCAGCTACCTCTGGATTCCCATTGGCCAAAAATCCGCAATAGGGCTCCTGTTTCAGCTTGACGACATCTTGTACCGCCGGTTTCCACCAGCGGGTTCAGGGCCGCCACGACAGGAGCCAACCACCTTAAAGCCATAGCGCCAATCAGCCAAGTCAACAATGTAGGTGCCCAACATGGTCTTCTTGGACTCAATGTCCCTTGCTTCCCCCGGGACATGGGTGATCACAGTGTTTGTAATCGACAATCTGTGACAAGCACAGGAGTCCAGCAACAAAACACCACTCAGTTTCAAATTGCAGTTCTTCCCAATCATGCCCCTTCTAGGACTCACTGGCATTGCCCACGTGAGCAATGAACTCCCCCAGTAGAACAAGGGAGTCCCCAGGGAGAGCACCCTTCAGCATACCCTCCAAGGACTTCAAAAATGGTGGGTACTCTGAATTACTGTTTGGTGCATAGAAGTAAACAACAGTTTGGACCCGCCACCCCACTCGAAGACGGAAGGCCAAGAGACTGCCACATTTCATGAGTTTCAAGTTATTTCCAAGACAACTGTGTACTATATACACATCGTTATCTACATCGAAAGTTCTAAAAATGGAAATATCGAAATGTAAATTCATCCATCCATCCATTCATCCATCTATGTTCTAATCCACTTATTTTCACAAGGGTCACTGGAACCTAAGCCAGCTGTCTTCGGGCAGTAGGCTAGTTACACCTTGGACTGGTTGCCAGCCAATTGCAGGGCACACTGAAACGAACAACCATCTGTGCTCACACTCACATCAAAGGGCAATTTAGAGTTTTCCATCAACCTGCCATTGCACAGGAAGTCCAGAGCCGGAATCGAAAACTGCACCAATGCACTGTGAGACCGACGTGCTAACCAGTCGACCACCGGACCGCCAAAAACACAAATTTTCAGAATAGTAATCTACAGATTCATAGTCTGGGCCAACAAACATTCATCAGTATCAGTTTGACCTATTTAGCCAAGGAAACAAACATGCTCACCTGTAAAATTAGGGTGAATGTTATGCCAGCACTGCAGATGCCCATTATGGTGAAGCCTCCAACCATAAGAGGCCGCCTCCCTAGCTTCTCTATGGTGAAACACTACAGGAGAACATGTTTGTGGAAAACATACTTTTTCAATGAATTCAATGTTTTGATTGCATACAAATGTAAGCATACCCCAATGAGTCCAGCAATGATCTCTATTACTCCTGTGCCTGCTGTAGTGTACGGGATCTCTGGTGTAGGGATCCCTGCGTTCTTAAATATGTCATTGGTGTAGAACCAGATCTATGAGGAAAAATATGGCTTGTATGAATGCATTTGTTAGCATATATATATATCACACACACACACACACACACACACACACACACACACAAACCCCTTACAGCATCAATTCCAGAGAGCTGCATCCCGATGTTGATGACCACCACACTGAGGACCTGCCAGCGAACTGTGTCATCAAGGAGCAGATTCCACACTGACAGTGTCTCCAGTGATGACAAGGAACGCTGCTCTTCTTGCATCTCCTCAATCTCAGCCTGGATGTTACAATTGGCTCTGTACCACTTCAGAGCTAGGGAAAGGCAAACTGGGCATCACACAACAATACTGTACCACAAATAGCACAAATTCTTCTGGAAGTTTAGTACAGATCCCAAAGTAAAATTTAAGCTGAACAGGTGCCATATGTGCTTGGCAAGTGGTGACAGATGTGTCACATGGCCTTATCATACTAAAGGCGATGACAGCTTCCAAGCGGCATCACTTTGTCTTTCTCGTGTGTGTGTGTGTGTGTGTGTGTGTGTGTGTGTGTGTGTGTGTGTGTGTGTGTGTGTCTATGCGTGTGTGTGTGGAGGAGGGGTAGTGTTTAATTGTCCAGGTGGGCATTCCATCAATACTGATGGAAGGTCCATCACTAATGGATTTGCTGACAAATGACGGGAAACTTAAAAAAACGGATGTCCTAAACACCAATGGAAATGGGTTATCGTCCGTTACCGCAAACTAGTCTGTCATTGACAGACTTTCGTTTTGCTGACAATTGACAGAAATGCGCCGTCTTTGTTCATGGGGGTGACTACACTGGGGTCGCTTCGGGTGAAGCGGAGGAGTGGGTCGTTCTTGTCTTCCTACAGGAAACATCACTAATCAATTGTGGTTGTATTGGCTGCTAAATCTCGGTTCCCATTCTTCAATCCTGCTCCTTTTTTACTTTCAAACCTATTGATAAAATATAGGCTAAATGCTCAAAACAAAATGTTTCCAACAATGTCAAAGAGTACTGTATTGACATGGTGCATGGGCAAGCAAAAAATGTTCCAATTATAGTAATACATTTTAAAATAAGAAAGTAAACATTGTTTCTTAATATTTTTTATGTCCATGGTGCATGATTTCTGTTTAGCATTTTCCCACATTGACATACGGATGTTTTTAGAATTTAGACATTTTCAATACATTCAAACGTATTTTGCAAACTCGTTCAAATACATTTCCAAAGTACATCCCACAGTCCGCAAAGACATTGTCCGATTTTGCCCAAGTGTGGTTAAAGTAACAATGATAGAGTGACAGACTGATGCTGACGGACTGGCAGGCCAACTGCTGACGAATAACGGACCGGTGAAATTTCTTGACGCGCCCATCACCACTGTTCCCTTTGTAAACCTTCTTTTTTTACTAACTTAAAATAGCAGTGATGAACTGTAATTTTGCGATGATTGACGCGTGGTTAAAATAACGATGATGGATTGACGATGACAGATGGGTGGGCAGGCCACTCGTGAATGATGAATGACGGACTGGCAACATTTACTGGCCCCCATCTCATTTAGTGTTAATGGGCCTCTTTTGACTCAGTATTTTTATTACTTGCTCCATTGTCCGACTGCACAAACAAAACGTGAATGAGAAAAACTTAATTCGGAATTCAGCTCTATCAAAATATTATGTATGTGCACAGGGAAGAGAGCTATGACTTTTTATGCAGTTTTCAGCTTGTGTTAGTCAACCTGGCTGTGGTGGTGGCATTGGTGCTAGCATAGGTTTTGGCATCTTTCCAATGGATCAGCAGCACAGTCAATCAGCACTATCCCATCCTCTTGATTTACTTGGCAATGAAAGTAATGTAAACGTCAACATCTAAGTTAGATCTTATATCAACAAGTCAGTGTTTTGAACGGCTCTTTTGTGGTGAACATCCATCCATCCATTCATTTTCTAATTCGCTTATACTCACAAAGGTCACTGGCGGGTTGGAGCCTATCCCACCTGACTTCGGGCAGTAGGCGGGTGACACGCTGAACTGGTTGCCAGCCAATTGCAGAGCACACATAGACGAACAACCATTCATGCACACAATCACACCTATGGACAATTTAGAGTGTTCTTTGGAGTGCCATGCATATTTATGTTCCATTAACTGTCTTTGGAATGCGGGAGTGCCCGGAGTACCCAGAGAAAACCTATGCAGGCACGGGAAGAACATGCAAACTCAGCACCAGAGAGGCGTTTTAGAGACAATTTGGTATGGTATTTGTTAACATTGAAGCAATCTGGTTTAAAAATATATTGTCCAATTGCAATTATAATAATTTCAAGAAAAGGTGGGAATACTGTTGTCGATGACACATCCAGCTACAGCTATAGAACACAACGCTTGCCAGGTCCCATTTACTTGGATGAGAGGTCTCCAGCTGCAGACCAAAGCCTCACGGCTCCTTTCGACATGATGGTCATGGTCCCCGTTTCGGGAATGGCAGCTTTAGGTCGCCGCCAGAGGGTTTCGGACACCACAGAGTAAAGACGATGAGCTATTGGTTGAATGAGACCGATCTCTCCATTCAGTCTGGAATGGCAATCTTTTCGCGCTGCTTGTAAAATCGCTATCAGCCTATTTTATCCACAGTGCACATGAAATTTTGAATATGGTTGTGGATGTTGTAAAATACAAAATGTACAGGTGGCTGTGTCTCGCTAGCTTTCACCCGCAAATAGATTTTCTATCTAAATATGTGCTTCTGAGCATTTGATGGGCTATATTTTGCGATGTTACCACTCATGAAATGTTTCAGCAGAACTATACACGTCGCCAGTGTGCCCTGTCCAGTGCACGCTTGCACACTTCGGTTGATCCTGCCCCTAAAGTTAAGCCACTGGTGCTTTATAATCACCCATCAGCATGTTCTTCTTTTATAAGGCAAAAATATGTGTCCCACTAACCTGTGATGGTGGCATGGACATTGTGCTTCTCAATCAGCAAGTATCTGGGGCTCTCTGGGAACCATGGCAACAGCATCAACTGGACAAATGTAGGCACCACCACCACAGACAGAAAGAGAGGCCAGTGTTCTTCCTGTAATATAATATAAATAGTACACATATTCAACAATTACGCTACCTGTAATATAATATAAATAGTACACATATTCAACAACAATTACGCTATGAAGTAACATGAATGACAGAACACATAAACACAACAACAACTACTGTATTTACAAATGCTGCTAGGCATGCTGGGATGCCCACTGTCAACATCCCAAGCTGCACTTACAACATGATTAGTTGTCATTTATTATTACCCCACAGGCATCGTGTGTGTTTTACCAAGCTGTAACGCATTGTGCTGTTATTTTGTTTCCACAGTCAGTAAGGTTACAATTCTGTTTAGAAAGCACCTATTTCAATTCTGCTATAAGGCAAGGATGAAACCAAATGACCGGCCTGCACAGGAGCTCTGTTTTTAGATTGGCTTTATGACCTATGCCATGCAATGGACTGTGTATGTTTGCCAGCTTTGTGCACATGCTGAGATACTTAGTCACCATGCATGTTTCCTGGTACGCCCATCGACAGACACAAGGGCACGTCCACAAAGGGTTGCAAATTTCCCATAAAAGCAGGAATGTCTACAGGTTCAAGCTTTTACTCTGCAGAAAACCATATCAGGTAGCAAATTCTTATTTACAGGCAGAGTGATGCCACCATCCCTGAAATGCACCCCTCTTGAACCATACATGTCACACATGCCAAAATTCATCACTGACCAGGAGTTATGGTTCTAAAGCGTACCTTTCCTAACAGTTCTTGTAGTCCAAGGATTTGAGCTGCAAAGACTCCAGTGCCAATAAAGATACTTGGCACCAGACCCAGAAAGCCCCTGAGGTTCTTTGGTGCGATCTCACCGAGGTACATTGGAACAACACTTAGAGAGATTCCTGTAGTAAAGAGAAAGACACATGACATCATGAAAGACATGATCGAAATTACATGGAAAATGCCCGTTCGATATTAAAATCACCTACACAGAACTTTTAACTCAAGAACCTACTGAAAGATTTACAGTGTATCTGATGGCAAGTGGTAGGTTAGGATGTTTGCTTTAATCCTGATAATTCTCTTTCAGCTAACAATGGAGGCATGGGACACGAGTGGAGATCTGCCGTAGGCGGGAGTCCAAATTCTGTCACGTTCCTGTTTTGGCCTGGCCAGCAGGTGGCAGGATGAGCGGACTTTCTGATAGCACACCTGCTGCCAATCTATCTATCAAGGGACTCTGTATTGAAGGACCCATCTTCAGTCAGCTGGTTGTCGGAGTATTGTTTATGCCTTACTGCTTCCTTGCTCATAGACTTCTTTGCTATAGACCTCGTCGTTTTCGCTTTTGAACTCTCGGTACCATTGGTTTTGTAAGTATGGTTTTTGTTTTGTGATTCGGCTTTTGCTTGCGTGTATTTTGATACATTGTTTTTCGTTTCGTATTCTCGGTTCTTGTTTTCCCCCCCTTGCCTTTTGTGCAAGCGCTTTTTGTTCTTCGTTTTTGTGCTCTCTGGTCCTTGTTTTGATCAGCGCTTTATGTTACTACTTTGTCGGTGCGATTTTTGTACATTAAAACATTTTTTTGCTACGGAGACCTTGTTTGGTGTCTACACTTTTGGGATCCAATACTTGATTCGGTTTGTCTGAATCGTGACAAATTCCTTCTGACGGGATGCTACATGTGCCCAGCAGACTTTCACAATATGCTTGGGTCTGCAGGTCAGACAAGCATCATCAGCCACCCTCTGAGTCAACACACAACCAGGTGTTGATCAGTTGATCACTCCGCCCCTCCCTTCACCCAAGTGTACAAGACATGCAGCCACAAGTACAATGAGATGACCACAAAGTCGATTATCAAAGTGTGGCCGAGGGTGTCCTGGTGCCAAGTGCATATGTGGACACCCTGTCTGAACACAGAAGTGCAATTAAAGACCGCTCGGATTCTGATTGTTGTCCCAATCATACCATTTGAAGTCCACGAGTAGAACGATGGACTCTCCAGCACGAGTGCTCTCCAGCACACCCTGCAAGGACTCCAAAATGGGTGGGTACTCTGACCTGCTGTTTGATCCAGAGGCATAAACACCAATCAGGACCCATCCTCCCAACTGAAAGTGGAGGGAGGCTACCCTCTCATCCACCGGGGTGCCTCCAAACGTACATGCAACAATCCAGAGGGCATTAAGTATGCCCATACCTGCTCGATAGCGAGCGAAAGAAAATCCAACCCATCTCGAGACAACTGGTACCAGAGGACAAGCTATGTGTGGAAGCAAGCCCAGTAGATCTAGTCGACATTTCTTGACCTTGCACACCAGCTCAGGCTCCTTTCCGGCCAGGGAGGTGACATTCCATGTCCCTAGATCCAGCTTATATCGCCCTGACCCCTTTGGCCCCTCCCACCAGTCATAAGCCAATGGGAAGGGGGAGGGCCTATGTTGCCTTTTTGGGTTGTGACTGGCTAGGCCCCTTGGGTGCAGACCCAGGGCACCAGGCGCTTGCCATTAAGCCCAACCTCAAGGCCCCGGTGATCTATGTCCAAGTGAGACTTCGTCTGGTCCGTCACCTAGGATCTGTTGCCGTGGGAGACCCTGCCAGTGACTGATAGCTCTAGACAATTTTGATCCAAGGACACGTGTCCAAATTTTTTCGTTTGAGGGCCACTTTCATATTGATTGACTTTAATTTGTTAAACACACTGAAATCAATGAAGCAAACAGTTATATATAGTTAATATTTTCGATAGTTATTTTGAAAAAAATGCTCCGTCACAGCTTTCTGTTCAAGGTGTTAAGGCAAATATGGTTGTTTAGGAATTTCGAGATTTTGGAGTGGTGTGTTCATAAATCGAACCTTGACAAAGCAGAAAGAGGAAGAAACAATTGTTGCCTCTAAAATAGTTATCTTTATTCACCACAGTGTTTTGAAAGTGTGTTTATTTTAGTTGTAAATAAATGTAAATATCGAGAAAAGCTCTACATTATACAGTACACACCAATCGATTGGTAGTAGCGGCACCTATTTTTTCACCCAGCCTTGCGAGCCATGTCAAATGTCATAGTGTATGACATGGACAATTGGAAAGTGGACCGCAAATGGCGCCTGGACCTTAAATTGAGCACACCTGTTCTAGGATCATTGGGACACACAAACCCCTCCATCACAATAAGGTGATGTCTCGATAGGATGGGATATGCTATGCAGCATAATCGTATCATGCTTTTGTGTTGTGCGTTATGTTAAGAGAAGGTTACCTGAGTGAATCCCGGTGATGAAACGACCAAGTATGACCATTTCAGGTGAACCACAGATTCTGCTAAAGCCCATTAGTGAACCAGCAATAAACACCAGAACTGTTGTTTTTACCACCGTGCCTTTCCTGAAATTACACCACAAATATGCAATTCAATAAGCAGTATGTGGAAAGTGTACTGTAATTCGAAGCATGCAACATTCAGAACCGACAATACAGTCGTCTTCCACAATCATTTGGAAAATGTTTTATGATATTGATGAGATTTTGATTTGTTGTCTTGAGAATATATTTCATCCATCCAAATTTACAATGCCAATAGATGAATGACAAATACTAGTAAAAAGAATGATGTAAAGTAATGCTGCTACTTAAGACTGACTAACACAATTCAATAAATGCATCCAAATAGTGTAAGAGTATCCACTCACACTTGATGTGAAACTTGTGGTTAACCTATTTGGATCATGCATGTTGGGAAGGGAAGTTTAGTTAATATACTGTCACATGTGGCTAGCTGGCATCCGTTACACTCTCCTCCGAAACTTCACTCTGAATCCAGGTCACGATAACGGTTGTAAATGTTGGTCATCTAGTCCCGGTCTCTATCCAGCAACTGTACATCCCCACTGCTTGAAAATTGACGAAACTAGCTTTGTAGACTAACAGCCTAGACTCCCAACCCATCAGCGAGTGCAGCAAGTAAATCAACCCACCACTCAAAATTATTTTTTCTTCATTCTGTTAGGCAAGGTGTTAATGAACATTAATAGTGCAAATATCAGTGGCTTCTGATTCCCTGAAAAAAGGTTTAATCCGATTAAGTATCAAACTAATGACATACCCGGTATGCTACCGTATTGGACAATCGCTGAAGCATAGCACAAGCTGGCATCAGTTTCATATGCATATGTGCATTCATCACGCTTTGGGTAAATACTGTATCGTCTATAACTCTTTATTGAATGTTCTATAACTTTGTTATCTGACGATAATGACTAATTATGTCTTTACAAAAAACAGATGCTAAAAAAAGTCTCACCTGCCAAAGCGAGTGACCAGCACACCCACTATCAAAGAACCCAGTAGACCACCAATTGCAAATACAGACACGGTGAGTGAATACATCAGTGTCAATGTCTCCCCGTTGAGTCCAGTTCCATTGCGGCTTAACGCTGTTTTGTTGTAGAAGTCCTTGATATACTAAGGGAAGAAGGATGTTAGATTAGCTCAAGATACTGGCAAAATGTATGTAATAAAGGTATGATATTTTGAGAAACTATATTAGATGAGGTCCAGTGGTTAGCGCGTCGACCTCACAGTGCAGAGGTCGTGGGTTCGATCCCGGCTCTGGCCTTCCTGTGTGGAGTTTGCATGTTCTCCCTGGGCCTGCATGGGTTTTCTCCAGGTACTCCGGTTTCCTCCCACATTCCAAAAATAATGCATGGCAGGCTGATTGAACACTCTATATCAGTGGTCCTCAACTAGAAATGCTGTAGGTCCACTTTTTTTTTTATTTTAATAAGACCAAGGTCCGGTCCCATGCACGGCGGTCATGGGGAGCAGGGCTATATGCCCATTTAGTCTGGTTAAGCCAAGCTTATACAAATCAACACTCCTCACAACCAACCAATAATGGGGTGCATGAGAATAACAATTATTCACTTTGCCAGTACACAGCAAATAATGAGAGGTATTGTGTTGAGGCACAGGAACTCTTTTATTTTGTTAAGTTGTGCCTGCTTAATAATAGAAATAGCCCTTTTAGGGAAATAAGACATTTTTACTTTAACTTTGTTAAACAGTAGCTGTCTTTTTTTCCCCTTAATTTAACAAAAACAAAACAAAATACTCATTTTACCAAAATAAATACTAAACATGAAAACAAAAATATCCTTTTCATTTGTACAAT